TAGGGAAAGCAGCTAGAGTCCAGTGTTTGCCTAAAGATACTAGGGAGTATGGAGAAAGGGTCAGGTTTTTCCATAAATGTTTCAGACCTTTTAAAATTAATTTACATTTGTAGTTTTTACCATGCTTAGGCAAATTTTTTAAAAAATTACTTATAATTTTTACTGATCTGTTTCCAACAAGGAACTGAGGGAGTGCTTTTGTTTCCATATGAAGCAACACCCCAGAAAAAAGGAACATGGCTTAGCAGATGGAGAAAGGGTCAGGTTTTTCCATAAATGTTTCAGACCTTTTAAAATTAATTTACATTTGTAGTTTTTACCATGCTTAGGCAAATTTTTTAAAAAATTACTTATAATTTTTACTGATCTGTTTCCAACAAGGAACTGAGGGAGTGCTTTTGTTTCCATATGAAGCAACACCCCAGAAAAAAGGAACATGGCTTAGCAGAAGAGTTCTTTATAAAATCACAGCTAAAACTATGACCCATTGGTTAAAAGAAACATTTCTTTAAGGAGTTAATTTGGATAGGTTTTCCCATATGAGGCAGTGCTTAGACCTCGTGGCTCAGGTGGATGTCTTGAAATCAGCTTGAATTTCTCCTCTTGGATTTAATAAGACCTTGTTTCTAGATCAGTGGTTCTCAACCTTTGGTGGATATCAGAATCACCTAGGTAATTTGGTAAAAACACAAAGACCCTGGTGCAGGGCCCACTTTTGAGAACCACTGTGGTTCTAGATCCATCCCTTCTTCCATGAGGAGTCAGCAAATGGAAGCACAGAGGGGTGAAGTGAGCCACTCCAAGGTCACATAGCTAAAAGCCACCTCTCCTGCCCACAGCTGAGTGCTCCATCCTTATTATCATGATACTGTACACCCTTTGTACAGCATTTTGTAATCTGTAAATTGTCTCTATCAGTTCATTTAAATTTTCATCCTTATAACCCCTCCATGAGATAGGAAGGGTGGGTATTATTACTTTCATTTTAGAGATATGGGAACTGAAGCTCAAGGAGGTTCAGTGACTTGCCCAAAGTAAAACAGTAGTAGTTCGTCAAAACAGAGATTCAGGTAGGCCTTCTAATTCCACTACTGATGGTCTACTCCCTGAAGCTAACTTCATTTGTCAGAATAATAAAAAGCAGGCATTGCTACGAGCCTTGCTACAAGCCAGGCATTGTTCTAAGCACTTTGCACATATTAACTTATTTAATCCTCACAACAATACTATATAGGTTCTATTATTACATCCATTTTACAGATGAGGAAACTGAAGGACAGAGAGGTTAAGTAATTTGCCCAATTTTACACAGCGAGTAAGTAGAAAAACCAACATTTTAATCCAGTGAACACAGCTTTGGAGCCCCAATTTTTATTGAGCTACTATACTGGGGAATATAAAATTTATTTAGTTTAGGACTATTTGCAAAGTAAAGCCTGGCATCTAGACGAGACACTCACTTTAACAGCATACTCTTTGCCATTCTGCAGGCTCACGGCACCTTGAACTTTGGCATAGGCTCCCTCTCCAAGCAATTCAGAAGTCAGCTTGTACATATCTAGAGGTGAAATGAATGAGAGGAATAACAAGATGAGTCACCTTTTGCAAGCTAAGATGAAAAGAAGTTCCGTCACTCAGCTTTCCTGGTCTGACAACACAGGCACACGATGACACCACAGCACTCAGTGACGAGGAAGACCATTCGCTTTCCTGCTCATCTCAGAACTCAGTTTCTCAATACCAGAGTACACTGAAGGCATCTTTGTTCCTATTTTAGAGATGAGGTCAGTGAAGGGGTTTTAATTTGGCATACACTCCCTGATCTCCCACTATGTGCCAGACAGCATATTAGACAGCACATAACAGGGCCAAAGTGAGGAATAAAATGTAGTCCCTGACCTTTGAGGGTAACAGTCCAGTGGGGGAAGACAGACATGTGCACAAGTGACCCCAGAATAAATCAGGCAGTGGGAAGTACTATCATAGATAGACAAGACACAGTAAAAAGGAGCCGGGGAAGGGAAAGGTTATATCTGTTCAGGGAATCTGGGGGAATCTTCATAGAAGAGGTGTGACTTGAATGGGCATCATATGTTCATTTACTCATTAGTAAATGAAGTTATTCTACCTCTCAGCAGCCCCTCCAGGTGCTCATTTGCTGAGCACCTACTATGTGCCCAACTCTGTGCTAGACATTGGTAATGCAAAGAGGAATAAAGCACTGTTTTATTTTATATCACATACAAAGGAAGTCACTGGTGGTTTTTGACAAGTTTCCAGAAGTCACCCACAGGAAACAGGAGACAGATGTAGATGCAAACAGATGCCTCGAGGTTTTTTGGGTGCTGAGTCAGAGCGGTACTAACAGAGTAATAGGCCTGGGTTGAAAGAACATTTAGGTGACCTGCCCAAGCTCACAAATAGCACAAGCTCTTTGAGCCCCTTCCAAAGGAAGCCACAGCTCCACCAGGGCCTCTGCCGAGCTGACCTCCTCCTCCCCTGGCCTCAATTACTCAGCTTCTTCCTCTTGAGGCAGCCTAGCACGTAAACCCACAGACTGAGTGGAATACTTTTTAATCAAGAAATTAGATTTTATCACTGAGTTATGAGAAGCCCTATAATTGCGCAAACCATCCCTGAATAACAGTAAATACTCTAATGTTCATCGAAAGAGCAAGTCCTGTTGATTTGAAAACTATTCTAAAAACCTTGGAACTTTTGTCTATCCCTCCTCCCTTAACCCCAATCCTGCCCCCCTCCCCCACAACTACTGTTTGAGTTAAAGGCAAAGAAACAGACAAAACCCTGCACTAAGTACCTTCTTGGTTTCATTATGGCTTGGCCTTACAGCTATTTATAAGAATACACACTATTGTTTGTAAGTATTTTGAATGACATGCCTTATTCACAATGGACACTTTGGTATCAGCCTTTTACAAATGTCAGGATAGGTTGGTGGTTGGAGGTCCAATATTCCTGACTCATAAAGGGCTTATTATTAGAACCATTCCACAGTCAATTCATTAGTGTATCTGCAATATTGGAAAAAGAGACCATGAAGGGAAGCTATTTCAGGTCTCACATGAAAGAAACAAAATAGATGAAGGAGGCATGTCACTCCTAGGAGTAGCTACTGATTCTTTCAGTCCTTTACATAAGTGTCCAGTGGTTCACTTCATCCCATTACAGGCCCAGTGATAAGAGGACCTGCACTGAGCCTAGTGCCTCACACACAGAATGTGCTCAAAATGTTTGATGACCCAATAGCCCCTGAACACAATATTCACTCAAAATGAAGTCAAACTCATACCGCACAAGTAGCTACAATCTCTAGGAGTCAAGTCCTCTGCTTATAGAAGACTGAAGTTTTATTTGCAGCCATGGCCCTCAGTGCTCTCTCTGTCTCTTTCATGGTTATTCTACCTCTCAGCAGCCCCTCCGGGAACAGCTGAGGGAAAGAACACATCTGAAAAGAAGATGAAACACACCAGGCAACCTTACTTCATGTACAACTCTGACAGATTGATTTTTCTGTCCCCTGATAAAGAGCTGAAACCATTCCTGGGAGGCCTGTGCACCATCCCAGGGCTTTTCCCGTCCCTGTGTTGCCTCACCCCACCCTGCCTTGCCTCACCGATCTCTGTCACTCCTTTGTGTAAACTTTCTCACTCCTGACTTTCATCCCTATCACACACATAACCATGCACTGGCTCTAAGACGACACAGGCCCTGTGATCTAGACCCATAGGCTTCCAGGATGCTCCTCCCATGCTTGGAGAGCCACAGGCTCTGATCTAAGACTGTTGTGTCACCCACCTTCAAACTTTCCTGATAAGGAGTCAATGGCCCGGGCCTTCCGCTTCTTCTTCTTTCTCTTGTCACTTCCTGCAATGGGAAGGGGTTCACTGCTGCCCATCTCTGGGAGAAAAGAGGAGATGTAAGGGAAGTATTACCGTACTGATCAAGCTATACTTTCACCCAGGGGAAAAAAAAAAAAGGAGGGGAGACCCAAGAGCTTTACACTGATGGTTTTTAAATATCTGTGAGGACTATTGATCTGTTTTGACCCAGGAGGCAAAACTAAAGGCAAAATCATTACAGGAGATCATTAACTGTGAAAAGGAACTCAGACAGACAGGCCAGATTAAAAGAGGATAGCAGAAGCCCGCTTTAACCAAGCTCATTAGCACATGGATTTAGAGCTGCCACCAGTCAAACTACAGTCCTCAAACAGTACAATGAATCCATAAGCAGAATCCCACCTGTCACATCTGCCAGCCTCAGCACCAGAAAGGCAGGACCCAGGGAGCTAAGCAAGAAGGAGGGTGAGGTTGGGACAGGGGTCCATACAAATGAAATCACATGCTCTGTAACATCCCTGTGTGGTTGTACACGAGGAGTCAAAAGGCCTTCAATAGACACTGCCTCTGTGGAGGTACAATAGGGCAGGGGATGGGACTGAGGATGGCCCTAGGTGACTTCATGTCCAAGAGCACAGACTTGAGTGCCCGTGGAGCCAGCGCATATCCTTCCCTCCTCAGCTCCTTATTTGAGAGGATGCAGGTAAGGTCCATTTTGGAATCTGCAGTTGACAGGTCTACACCAGGCTGCTGGAAGAGGTCATTTATTGCAAAAACATTATTATCTCTCACGGGCAAGCACCTGGCACCCCTTGTTAAAGGGAGGATTTGGGAGGCAGATATTCAAACATTGGACAGACTGGGCAGGAAAATGTAGGGACAGAAAGAATAAGCAGGAGACTGAGTATGGGAAAGAGAAATAGAGGAACAATGAGTCAGTGCCCAATCACAGTACTGTTTCTAAGACACTCTAGTGAGGGCCTTCCTCTGTTAAAGATAAATTACTTATAAAACATGTCATGCCCCTGATCCAGAGTGGAGCTTTAATACTCTTTGCCTGCAGTTAGAAATAATAAGATTTCTCTGAAGTCTCTGGGTCTAAATCCCCACCAGGGTGATTAAACCTTTACATCCTTCTAAAATAGAGGCACTCGAGTGCTGATGGGGCATACCATGTGAGAGACTTCTAGACCAACCTTTAATAAACACAGGCTCTGGGTTGTTGGATTTTTTTTTTTTTTTTCTGAGAGATTGTGAAATGGAAGCTGGCTCTTAGCCCATTGAGAGAAAAGGCCCACTCTCTTCTCAGAGGACCCCAGCTGAACGTGATCAGAGAAATGGCAAGTCTGCTCAGAAAGATTGATTAGAGCCGATGCATGTCTTCTATACACTGTTCTCAGAAGCAAGTACAAAACAGCCATTAGGAGAAAGCACAGAGAATGATGGCTCTTTTCAACACCACAATCCAGAAAGCATGGTTAGGGTAGCCAAGTGTCTGACAGCTCAATTTAGATGCATTCTTCCTTCTGTCTCTAGGACCCGATGACAGCAGATTTTCATTATACTTTACAGAACAGATAAACACATGAATAAAAGGAATCTACAAAGAATCTCAAAATATTACTCTAGCCAAAAGCTTTAAGCACAAGATATATCTGGGGACTGCAACATGCTATATATTCAAGGAACTAAACTTAAATATCGGCACCCAAATATCCACTCTCACCAAGGTATATTAAAAGGAAAAAAGCTGCTCAACACAGTGAGAAATTCTACAGAAATCAATATAGCATCACTCATCTTCAGGAGCTCAGGGAGAGGGCACTGGCCATTGGGATGGCAGGCTGAAAAGGAAGGACCACTGTCCCCCTTGCCCTGCCCTAGTGTGCAGTCCAGTGTCAATCCTTGTCCTCATCTATTTTCTCACGAGCACTGTGAGCCAAGTGCAGAGTGGACAGATTTTGGATTCACTTCTCTTTCTCCTTCCCCAGCCCACACTCTGATGGAGGGCCTAAGGACAGGTAAAACAGCCAACAGGCAGTGTCGAAGAGCAGCAAGAGGGCTAGCAGCATTTTAATTCACAGGGGATGCTCAGACATACTTATGACTCTAGCTAGAAAACCCTGTTAGCTGCCATTTATACTTGGTTTTTGCCACAGCAGGGCTGAGGGAGCCTCTTGTGGAAGAAGCATACATCTGAGCACTGCTGCACACTCAAGATTAGATTTTATGATTTCACACACAAAAAGGTAGAATACCTGGTCTATTCTGCATGGATTTCATTGGAAGAGGGTACGCCAGAAGGGACAAATGGTTAAGACTTCCCTTGGAAACAGAACTTGTTGAAGGAGAGCTGTTTTTGAAACTAGGAAGAAAAAAATGTAGGAAGACAGTGAAGTGAAAAAACATGCTTAACTTCCCTGTTTACACGGGTGGAGGGGGAAGGTGAGGTGTCATAACCTTATGAAGGGGTTGACAGTTCTCCCACTGTAGCCTGCCCAGACTCTCTATTTTATCACTAGCAGGGTCTGTGGGGCCTTAATTTATTATGCATGCAATCATTTGGTAAAAGCTTCTTCAGGGTGTAATGTTCCACAATCAAGCTGGTCCTTGGCTCACCTCCTTCGTTTGGCCTAAGAATTCTTCTGAGCCATCAAAACCCATCTCAAAAGTCTCCTTCTCTTTGAATGAGTTAAGGTTTGTGCAAATATCGTTAGGCTCTATAGAAACAGATGGTATCACTACACACCTAACTACGAGTTTGTGCTCCATCCTCTGTTCCAAACACTCCGCTGGAAATACTATGAGAGCACTGATTTTTGTGGCCTCCCCAATGTTTCTAAAGACCAGGACTATCACCTGTTCATCTCTGTATTTTCTATAAGTCATGGCAAATTGTCAGACATATATACTAGCCATCAGGAAACACGCATTGAAATGAAAATGATATGAAATGATGCATATCTCTGTGCATGTCTCCTACGTTCCTTAAATACTAAGTGAACACACTGAAAGAAATGTGGGTATACCATTGCCCCACAGACAATGCAGAGTAAGGCTATTCAGTTCTATCAATTCCTGATAAACTTCCTCTCAAAAAGAGCACTATGACCCAGAAGGTTTTTAACTTTCTAGCAAGATGCCTATTTCTTGCTATAGGATTGAGCAATGTGTCTTGTTATTTCAGAGAAGGAAGTGAGCTCTTCTTTTCTTTTCAGACAGACCGCAGCTGGTATGGAGGCTCCCAGCACTTACACTGCGCCCAGCCCTTGCCTTCTTCTTGGGTGGGGCTGGGTGATCCACCATTTGTTTATTGCTGGAAGTGGAGCTGGAAAGGAAGCACACAGCTGACAGGGAAGGTACATGGGCTCAGCTTCAGGAGGCCAAAGTGAAAGTCCTGGTTCAGATAGTACCAGACACAGCATCAAGGCCAAGTTACTTTGCCTCTTAGAGTCTCTATTTCCTCACCCACAGAATAGGTTTAAAAATAATATCTGCCTTTTCTAGAAACCCTGTGAGGACCTAGTGATATACTTACTATAAATGCACTTCAAAAAAAAAAAAGTGTATGTACACACAACACACACAACAGAGTAAAAAGACTATATAGAAATACACAAAAATGTTAATACTCCTACAACGTAAGAGTGCCTACTATGTGCCAGGCACCATGCTAGGTATTTTACATATGTTATCTCTAATTCTTAAAATAATCCTAAGAAGTAAATATTTAACTATATTTCAAGTGAGGAAACAGGTTCAGAGGTTAAATTATCTACTAAATGCCAAACATTTAATTAGTGGTTTAACTGGGATTCAAACTCAATGCTGCCCTTTCAAAACCAGGCCATTTATAACATATAGTCATTTTCTCTGCATGCTAAGGTGATTTTTATTTTCTTCTTTGTATCTTTCAGTATTCTCCAAATTGTATAAAATAAAATTTATTACTTTTTATTCTATTATTTTAGTCAAGATTTATTTTTCAATAAAATACACAACAATTTTTCTCTAATGCACATTGGAATATGGAACCTGATTATACAGTTTTAAAAACCATATCTAAATTTCTCTGTATTGAAATTCAACATTCAGTGAAGAAAAATATTTCAGGAATATTGGTTCCTTGAAGATATTATTTTTATAATTTTGAAAAACGACAAATACTATTTAAATTTTTACATTTTTAAATGTTATTTTTTAAAAGGAAAAACATAAAGACAAAACAATGCATTGAACATTCAAGCCTAAAAGACACCAGTTTAAATCCTGACTCTCCACCACAGCATGAGTTTTGGCAAGTTGCTTAGCTTCTCTGAGTATCAGTGTCTTCATGTACAAAATGAGGTCACAGTAAGGCCTGGGCTGCCTATATCACAAGGCTGTTGTGAGGATCAAAAATAAGAACCTAGAAGTGAAAGCACTGATGACTTACCTTTTTATTATACACATGCTGTGTATACTGAGCATCTACTAATTGTCCAGTGTTAGTGAGAATATAAGAGAAGACATAGTCTTTACCCTTATGGAATTTAAATCTACTGACATATAAAACAGTGGACAAGTTTCAATATAGATGAACAAGTGCTGTGACAGGGGAGTACCAGGTGCTATAGAGCAGAAAAGAGGCATCTAACTCAGTCTGGCAACTAGAGAAGGGATGGCTAAGCTGGTACCTGAAGGATGAGTGGGAATTGGCCAGGGTGGGGGCTGGGGAGAGACAGAGGAAGAGCATGTGCTAAGGTCTGAAGGAGATGGCTGATTAGTGCCACTGCAAACCATCTAGGCCGGCTGGAGCGCAGAGTATGTGGGCGAGTGACAACAAATCAGCCAAAGAGGTAAGCAGAGGCAGATCATATTCAGTCTCTCCATCATAGTATTATCCTCCTCCTCCTCATCATAATCAATTGTAATAAATGTTTCTATTCCTAGGCATAAGTTTATCTTGTTTTCTCCATTTAAATAGGAGTAGGGATGCATATTCTCATTTTTTGTAAAACCTGTTAGTCAACAAGTATTGATTGTACAATTAGTGTAGTAGCTGTTAAAGATACAGATCCACCAACTAACCTGGCTCCTACATGGGGAGAAGGCTCCAGAGAACCCACAGAGCATATGAGAAGGGGCTCTAGTCCCAGTGGGACAACAAAGGCAATTCATATTCCTGACATGAAAGTACTAATTCACTATTTTCACCCAAGCTGACCCCAAGGTTCCCCTTCTGAAAGAACTGTGTCATTTCTCCATGAAGTCTTATGAGCCATAATATCCTCAAAGTCACCAGTTCTGTTCTCCATATTTTGGTAGAGTCTATAGAGAAGTAACCAGTTCCTATATCTGGTATATGATACCAAAGATGATCATTTTCCCATTAAGAACAAGACTTTGCTGGCTAACTCAGCTCGGCTAACTTAGCTTATGCTCCTCTCCTAGCCACTCGGAGTTCTTTTCAGGGTCTGCGGTTCACTTCTCTCCCCAACCTGTAAGACTTATATCCCTTAGTCTCAAGAGCTTTCTAGAGAAGAAATAATGGTGAGAGTAAGTTGATGAGTATAATGATCAATTCAGCTGCTCTCTCAGTTATCAGCTGGCTGAAGGCCTCCCAACAAATGGAGAATTAAGCAAATGAAAGGAAACTGAGGCAACGAAAGAAAGGTGGTGATTCACAACAGGCTTCAGATGGACAGTCTTAGAAAAGAGGCCAAGACTAAGAAAAATGAGGCGGAGGAGAAGGCAATCAGGAGCCTGGGGAAACTGGGTCCCAAACATTTACTTTTCTGAAGTAGTATAATAGTAGTTGAACACTACTACTAGTAATTAGAGTACACACATGCTTATATGGTACTCACCATATGCCAGGCAATATTCTAAGCACTTTACAAATATAACACTTTACATATAATAACTTATTTAATCTTTACAACTTTATGATGTAAGTATAATTATTATCCACATTTTATAAATGAAGAAGCTGAGGTACAAAGAGATTAAGTAATATGCCCATGGTCACATAGCTAGTAAGTGGCAGAGCTAGAATTTAAATCTAGATAGTCTGGCTCAGAAATAATATATTTAAACATTAATGCTGAAAGGCAAAAGGGGGTGGCCAGAGTTAGCCAGGCCCCAGCAAGAATGCTTTTACTTAGAAACCTTAGCACAGAGCTTCCCTACTGATGTGCTGTGAATGAGATACTGATCTTCTCATCAGGTTGAACAATATCATTTTCTACGTGTGCTATGAGGTCAATAAGGTTGGGCAGCACTGCTCTAGCTGACATAAATACAGGGGTATTATTACTACCTTATTATTATTATATTAATCGGAACTTTCTTCTTCTTGCTCTGAGATAGCTTTCTATTTTGTGTTTTGTCACATTATGTAGGATGAACTACAAACCAGCCCAATCGCATTATTTCATGGCAATTCTTCTATCAGGTACAAGGCTATATTATTCTGCCAGACCCATTAGTGGGGTGATTTGGTTTTTGATGATATCATTACTATGTAGGGGACAAGGTCAGGGAAAGGGAACACTCAAACGGAAGGTAGTCAAATTTAACACATGATGGATGAAAGGAGCCAGCTGTGAAATCAGCTTAATCAAAGGACGATCTGTAAGCGTGATTTCAGGGGCTAAGATACTTCACAGGTTTTTCCCAAGAGTCCCATCTATAGTAAAGCTGGGCAGCATTATGCAGATTACAGTGTCTCACTCAACTACAGTAAAAGAAGTATGAAGCCCACTAAGGTGCCAACAGGGTGGTGATTCACAACAGGCTTCAAAAAAGGGCTGGGACAGTAAGATTCTCAGAGGCACAGGATCTAGATTCAGGCTCATCTTCTTCCTTCCTCTGTTCTGATTCTGGGATCACAAGTAGCCTTCAGAACTGTCATTGCATCTCCTGATGGAAGGTATGACAAGAGAAAGGGCAGAAGGGGTAAAGAAAGTGTGTGTTTAAGAAATAGCAAGCAAGAAAATAAAACTACCACGTGATCCAGCAATCCCACTTCTGGGTATTTATCCGAAGAAAACAAAAACACTAACTCAAAAAGATATATGCACCCCCATGTTAACTGAAATATTTACATCATTTACAATAGCCAAGATATGGAAACAACCTAAAAGTCCTTTGGCAGATGAATGAATAAAGAAAATGTGGTATTATATAAATATACAGTGGAATATTATTGAGCCATAAAAAGAATGAAATCTTGCCATTTGAGACAATATGGATGGACCTTGAGGTTATATCATGCTAAGTAAAATAAGTCAGACAGAGAAAGACAAATATTGTATGATTATATGTAGAACCTAAAACAAAAGCAAAACAAAACAAAAAAATAAAACTAAGCTCATGGAATACAGAGAACAGATTGGTGGTTGCCAGAGGTGGGGAGTGGGTGAAATGGGGGAAGGGAGTCAAAAGGTACGAACTTCCAGTAACAAAATAAATAAGTCATGTTGATGTAATGTACAGCATGGCAACTATAGTTAATAATATCGTATTTTATATATGAAAGTTGCTAAGAGAGTAGATCTTAAAAGTGCTCATTCACAAGAAAAAATGATTCTGTAACTGTGAGGTGACAGATATTAACTAGATTTGTAATCATTTTGTAATACATACAAATATTGAGTCACTATGTTGTAAACCTGAAACTAGTATAATGTTTTATGTTGATTATACATCAATAAAAAAAAAAGAACAACAAAATAATAAGCAGGAGTAAAGGACTAAAGGATTGGATTTGTGTGAGCAGGACAGTATAAAGAACTGTCATTGCATCTCCTGATGGAAGGTATGACAAGAGAAAGGGCAGAAGGGGTAAAGAAAGTGTGTGTTTAAGAAATAGCAAGCAAGAAAATAAAACTACCACGTGATCCAGCAATCCCACTTCTGGGTATTTATCCGAAGAAAACAAAAACACTAACTCAAAAAGATATATGCACCCCCATGTTAACTGAAATATTTACATCATTTACAATAGCCAAGATATGGAAACAACCTAAAAGTCCTTTGGCAGATGAATGAATAAAGAAAATGTGGTATTATATAAATATACAGTGGAATATTATTGAGCCATAAAAAGAATGAAATCTTGCCATTTGAGACAATATGGATGGACCTTGAGGTTATATCATGCTAAGTAAAATAAGTCAGACAGAGAAAGACAAATATTGTATGATTATATGTAGAACCTAAAACAAAAGCAAAACAAAACAAAAAAATAAAACTAAGCTCATGGAATACAGAGAACAGATTGGTGGTTGCCAGAGGTGGGGAGTGGGTGAAATGGGGGAAGGGAGTCAAAAGGTACGAACTTCCAGTAACAAAATAAATAAGTCATGTTGATGTAATGTACAGCATGGCAACTATAGTTAATAATATCGTATTTTATATATGAAAGTTGCTAAGAGAGTAGATCTTAAAAGTGCTCATTCACAAGAAAAAATGATTCTGTAACTGTGAGGTGACAGATATTAACTAGATTTGTAATCATTTTGTAATACATACAAATATTGAGTCACTATGTTGTAAACCTGAAACTAGTATAATGTTTTATGTTGATTATACATCAATAAAAAAAAAAGAACAACAAAATAATAAGCAGGAGTAAAGGACTAAAGGATTGGATTTGTGTGAGCAGGACAGTATAAAAAGCTAAAAAGGCAGACCAAAGTCAGATCACCCAAGCTTAGGGCCTACAAGGCCCTCCAACATCTGGTCCCTATCTACTTTCCAGCCTCACTTTAGTCAATTATTCTTTCACGTAAAAATGAAAATGGTGGCTAGTGCAGCTTGCAATTCAAGCATCCTGCAAGTGCTTTTCCTTGAGACCGCCACTGGTTTTTGGTAGGCAGGAGAGGGCTTTATGAGCATTCCCCTTTTGTCACACAGAATATTAAAAAGATGTATACTCAAGGGTTGAGATTCATTAAAATTACTAATTTTTACTGCTTTATCAAGGACATTCTTAAGTGAAAATGGCATTTTTAAAAAACTCTGAGTGTGAAGCAGTGAAGAACACAATGACTGCCAGTAGAGTTGGGTGCCACTGCCTTGATTGGTGCTAAGGCGCCAGCAGTTTTGCCCACTGTTGCTTTGCAACAAAAGATAACATCTTGGTACTACTATGAAAATAGTTTTGACCTTGTAGATACTCTGAAAGGGTTTCAAAGGCCCCCAAGGTTTATAGAGCACACTTGCAAACCACTGTTCCAGGCAATGGGGAGGGACTATGGACAAGTAGAATATGTTTTAGGGCCATCAAACTGGCCATGATGTGTGTGGGACAAACTGGAGGCTGGAGAGGGACTGGAGGGTGGAATGAGGCTGCTGCAACAAGACAAAGAAGACCTATACCTGAGCCAGGGATAGAAAAGAAGAGAAAGAGGTATGGGAATGAAGTCACAGAGGCAGACTGGAGATAGTGAAGGAGTCAAAGCCTACTACCCTCTATGTCTAATCTGCATAGAACCAGGCACAGAGGAGGACCGCAAAACATGTTTATTAACCAAAGTCAAGTAACCGTAAGAGCAGTAGTACCATCAAACAAGGGGAGAATTCAGGAAAGGAAGTTGGTTGGGGAAGACAGTGTGCCACTGGGAGACTTCAGATGCATAAGGGTGTCACAGCAGCAAAGTATGAAAATTCACAGATCAGGCTACGAACCATTCTCAGCCAGCCCTCATCTGACCCAATCTACAAATGAGGCATTATTTATAAACTGCCAGGCATGGCAAACCTCAGGTTAGAGTGTCATTCAGAACACTTTCAAATGTCATCATAAATGTCATATATATTATAAATTTAAAAAAAAAACAACCTAAAAATATACATCTCAAGCCATTATTAACAATGGTTATTTAGGAGAATTAAATTGGGTGGGTACAGAATTTTACTTTTTATACTTCTGTTGTATTTGATTTTGTTTTGTTACAGTATGGTTGTTTTACTTTTTAATTAAAAGTAAATAAATACATTTTACTTCCTGCAGTTTTCCTTATGAGCCTCTTCACCATTTTATTCTGGTAGAAATGTGCTCCTCCCTATTAAATAACTGTTTTAGGCATGCCAGGCAGTCCCGCTAATCCTAGCTGCCAAACTGAATACTGAAACCTCTGACACACCCCTTCCTCTGGAAATAATTTGAACCTGAAGCAATCTAAAAGGCTAACCAAATGTATATCCAACCTTACCTATAGGTTTGCCCAACTTTTGGAGAGCGAATCCTCTATAAACTTGAAATTCAAAATAAAATAATGCTTTTGACAGGGGGTTGCTGCCTTCTAGTCATAGGAAGTATTTCAATGGCCTCTGTACGTAGCAGACGTTCTTCAGTTCTCCATCGGCCTCAACTTCATATCTGGCATGAAAATCTTCAAAAAGTAGAAATAGAAAGGACATCAAAATGCTGGCTTCTTTAAAAAAACCAAAGAAGATAAAGATCAACTTAAGTGTTCCCCAAACCTATGTGTCATATTATGAAGAGACAGACACACGGCAATCACAAAATTCCCATGTTTAAAATCAGATATTTGAACATTTGAAAATGTTAACACCAAGCACTTGAAGATTTAACAAGAGTCTCAGTAAAAGTTTTCAGATTCTGTTTCCATTGTGGGAGTCCAGGACCCCCCAAAATAATGACCTGGATGAAGATATGGACACCTATGTTTGCTGAGGAGTCTCATGCAGAAAGTAAAAGCTGACACTTCTCTGTTGTTCAGCATTCACAGGCAAGAGGCAACAGAGCCAGAAATTAAAGTAGATGCTGAGAGCAGCAGGCAGCATGAATAGGAACAAGGTTTTATGCCAAACGTATAATTATTGCTAGTTTTCTATTTTAATCTCGTGGCTCTAGCTATCATGTCTCAAAGTTGATTTGTGAATTTCTCTACAACATGATTGTGTACTTTCACTTTTCCCAATAGAAAAGCTCTGAAAATGTAGTTTAAATCTGAATTCTAGGCCCTTGTGCCAAAATTTCTAAAAAGGTTTCCTAACTGGAAGCCAAATGTGTTTCATTTTCTCAAATCACATGTTCCAAATTGGACTTATCCCCAGCCCCCGCCCAGTGCCTTCTTCCTCCTTTCCTTTCTTATCAGATTATATTATTTTGCCAGTCACCCAGCAGCAGAACCTTTAAATCATTCCTAATTTCTCTTTCTCCCCCTATCTCATAAGCTCTAAATATTCATACTGCCAGGCTTTCCTTCAGCCTGTTATGTAGCTCCTTGAAAAGAACATCTATTCTGTCTTCAAAGTCCATCACAAATTACTGAAATTACAGAAGCAGTCCCTGACTTTTTCTACTTCATCCAGCATTTAATTGAACCCACAGTATATTATTATAATACTTAGAGCTGATGATACAAATGCATATGTGGCTCTCCCACTAGGCCATAAGCTCCTCAAAGGCAGGGACATACATTTTTCATCTATGTATTTCCAGCGTCTAACATAGTATCTGGCACACACAAAAAGGGGGGGCTCTAGTAAATATCTGAATTACTTCACAAAATATTTCTTTATTGCCCAATAGAGAATGTTATCATATAGAATAATCCTTCCTATTATGCTTTTTATTCCCAAATAAATCTCTGTGGCCCAAAGAAACTATTTTCAGGGCCCAAAAGAGTTCAGGTTACAGTCTTTCTCCTTATGGCCACAACACTTCTGGAAACAACCTTGAACACCTTTGAATTTCAACTCTGCCTTTAGTCTTGCCACAGGTTTAAACTCCCCAGTCCCTTCTTGTTGCCTACAGTAGGGGTTAGCAAATTTGTCCTGTAAAAAGCCAGATAGTAAATCTTTTAGGCTTTGTGTCACATGGTCTCTGTCACAACTATTCAATTTTGTCTTTGTAGAGCAAAAGCAGCCATAGACAATATGTAAATGAATGATGTGGCTATCTTTCAATAAATCTTTATTTGTGGATACTGAAATTTGAATTTTCACATTATTTTCATGCCGCAAAATAGTAATCTTCTTTTGATTTTCCCCCAACCATTTAAAAATGTAAAAAGCATTTGCTTGCAGTCTATACAAAAATTGATGGTAAGCTAGATATGCCTATAGGCCAGTGTTTGCCAACCCAGCTTATTTCTCTTCGTCATCAACTCCATTCCTCTCCCCAACATACACACACATACACACACACACACACACACACACACACACACACACACACAACCTGTTCATTTCCATCTCTAGCGAAAAGAACTCTCAGAATTCCTTATGGACTTTGTTTTATTCTGCTCTTTGGAGCCATTCCAGGGCTGGAGTAGGAAGCACATAGGCTTTCTAGCCATTAGGGCCCAGACTGAGATTCTGGCCCCATCTGCTAATGAGGTAGCCTTGGACATAATACTTGACCTCTCTGTGCTTCACTATCATCATCTATATAATGGGGGCAATAGCATCTACATCACAGGGTTGCTGTGAGAATTAAATGAGCTAATCCATATCAAGTTCATGGCACAGTGCCTGGCATACAGTAGTGGCTCAAGAAATAGTAACTGTTATTCAAGCTTGGGATATGGCTTCCCAGATCAGCTATGGAATTGGAAAGCACTCTGTAAACCACAACTGGGCAGCAGGAGGGAATAAATTCTTAGTGAAGTAGGAGGTTTTCAGATATATGACACAAGATTCTAAGTACCTACTTAGCCCTAATTCCTTCTGGCACCATTCCAACTTCCATCTTTTCCTCCTTAGCCAGAACTTCTGACTCTCATACTGCCTGAATCTCCTTAGCATTCCTTACCAAATACCCAGATGAGTCCTGGAATCCTCTCCTCATTCTTGGTATAGGGCTAGGGAAGGGTGAATGTGGCTAGACCAAATCTAGAGATTAGTCTGCCACTGGGTCTTATGTAGGATGGGCACCCAATTCTCTCTCAAGTCTTCATAAATTTCCTCCTATATACAGAATGAAATTTTTCCATAGCTCAAGAACTAGTCTTTCTATAGAAGTTTTAGAGTAAACAAAACCAAGTATCCAATTAAGGGATTCATTCTATTACTTTTAAGACAGAAAATATCAGTGGTGGGCAGGTAAGACTAAGGCTTGTGGTATCCCTGTTCTTGGTCCAAAAAGCCAGATTTAAGCCTGTCATTTTCTTGCTCCAACACCTCTAATGGGCGTCCACTGCTTCTTGAATAACCAAGTTCCTGTGCTGTCACTCAGGGCCTCCACAAACTTGCCACTCCTCTACAGAAGTGTTGACCTACAGTCCAGGCAAAATGGACTGTTTCTTCTGAATTGTCCTAAACAATTTCCAGCTTCCCATGCTTGTGCATAATTCAATCACAGTGCCTGTAATAGTTTATTGCACATCTGCCCCTCGACTGTGAGCTAGAGACAGGGCGGAGACTAAGTCTGATTCATCTCTGGGTCCCTATACCTAGCACAAGGCCTGGCACGAGGCCAACACTCAATAAATGTTAATGAATAGAAACATCTGAAGTTATTCTTCCTTTAAACTGTTTTAGTTGGACTAAGTACAGTCTGAGTCACTGCCAAGTAATAGAAAAATTGAAGAGAAACTAAAGAAGCATGACCAATGAGATCCAAGCAATGGAAAATAGGTTTTAAGAGTGAGGTGAAAGAAACCAAGGCTATTTAGCCTGGAGAAAAGATGAGGCCTAACTTCATTCTGGCTTTAAGTACACAAAAGGTTCTCATGAGAAAATCTTGATCTCATCCTCCCTTTATAATCTGAAGGAACTTTTCCATATTTATGGAAAATGGAAGAAGAAATGGCTTAAGTCAAGGCCAGAAGGGTTTAAGGTAGAGAAACAGAAGAACCAAATTAGGCACCACTTTTCCAGATATACTGTTATTGTACTTTTTGGCAAGTGAATTAAAGGGATCTTGCTTAGCACTTTTGTTGAAGGCTGTGCAAAATGGAATAAATACACTACTCTGTTCCTGTTTACTGTGGAGAGAGGGGTGAAAACACAAGTCAGGTAAAATTTTCTAATGAGTCAATGACTTTTTATTGACCCTTTTCCTACAGGCACTTTCTTTCATGTTATGCTTTGCAACTTTGTGATGGAACAATCTAGTGTTTCAAAGATTCCTGATGGGTCAATGGAAAGAAAGAGAAGGAACAGCGTCAGAGTAGAACGGCAGGAAAAATGGACTTAATAATTATACTTTCTATAAATACAATATCCAACTGGACATTAATAATAATTGTTAATATTATTACTATTAAGGATAACATTCATTGAATATCTACTATGTGCCAGGTACTGTGCTAAGTGTTTAAGTTATCTCAATCCTCATAACAACTCCATAAGATAGATATTATTTGTATCCCCATTTTATAGATAACGAAACTGAGACCCAGGAAAGTTAAATAACTTGCCTAAGTCACAAAGCTAGCAAGTGATAGAGTCAGGACTCAAACTCAGGCAGTCCAACTATGAAGTCTATATACCTCACTACTGTCTCCTTACAAGGATGAGAGACTGGAATTTAAATCCCAGTTTCTCTGAATCCAGGGTCATATTCTCTGCTACTTCCTTATACTGCCCCAAACCAGGAAGAGCAATGAAATACATGCATTAGTAAGAGATCTCAGAAATGAACCAAAATACTCCCTATATTACAGAGAAAGAGCTGAGATGGAGGACTCATGGATGATAATGAGCAGAACCAGGACCTGAATGCCAGCCTTTTGACTCCAAGTGTAGTCCTCTTTCCTCCATTATGGATTCTTGTCAAATTTGAGGGTGAGAAAATGGAGAAACAGTATGTGCCAAATGAGTTCTCTCCCTAGAGACTTTTGTAATGAACTGCTAATCTCACATTAGAACCTATGCCTGAATAGAAAAGTGCCAGCAGCTTCTGTAAACTGATTCTAAGTTTCTACCAGCTAAAGATGGCCATACACTGATTTATGGTACTACAGGAGCTGCTATAATGCTCACATATTAAATCAAACATACCTAGAGCAGGTAGTTTCTACAGTAGGTCAATGGTTCTCAGTTTAAGCCTAAACTGGATTATTCCAACAGCCTCCTCATCGATGTCCCCATTCCGGGATCTTCTTTGCTCCAGTCTAGCCTCCATCCTGCAGCCACAATAAACAGAGCCCTAGTCATGGCATTTGGAGCCTTGCAGTACAATAAAAAGAACATGGGTCATTGAATCCAACACTTGCAGGTTTGGACTGAGCTCTGCCACTTGCTAGCTACCTGACCTTGGGCAAATCATTTAATCTTTCTGCAGTCTGGTTTCTTCATCTTTAAACTGGGGATAAATCACTCCATATTACAGGATTGTGAGGATTAACTAAATTACAGTGGGTAAAGCATCTAACATGTTGCAAGCCACAAAACAGAGCAGACACTAGATAAATGTTAGTGTTCTTCTCCCCACTCTCCTCTCTACATTTTGGCCACAACTCACTATTTCAGCTTATTCCCTCTTCACCAAGTCCATTCCTTTCCTCCAACATACACACATGCACGCACACACACATACACGCATGCACGCACACACACACGCACGCACACACACAATCTGTTCATTTCCACCTCTTGACCACTGCTCAAGCTGTTCCTCATAGGAATTAACTTCCTCCAAGGCCCACCATAAATTTTCCACCTTCAAGAATCTTTCTCTAGACCCCCTTTGGTCATGTTGGGATTGATTTCTGCTCCCAAACTCCCACTTTGCTTACATTCTTTACTACATTTACCATAGTCAGTTATTTATGTACTTATCTACCTTCCCAACTACACTAGAGGGAGAAGGCTCTGAGAAGACGATTACTTATAAAAGGGCAGGAAATGTGACGTTCTTCTGTGTATATTTCTCAATTTCAGGGCCTTGCACCTAGCAAGAGCTCAATATGTATTTCCTGATTTGAATCTTGCTACCCTTGACTGGGAATATTTACAGAAAGATCCTGGGCTGAGTTTATTCTAAAATTCTGCATTTACTGTCTGACTTGATAAATATGCAATTTTTAAAGTATACTAATATTTCAAAGCTAAGATCCACTACTACCCATGCTTCATTCCTTCAACCATTCTTTCAACACACTCAGGACTCCTCTCAAAACATCTCTCCAGAGTACAGGGAGACATTGCTGGGAGGATGTCCTTCACTCACACAGGTAGGGTGATCTGGGAGCCAGCTCTTGGGAGAACTGTTCGACCCCACTGGTTGAGAGATGACTGCCATTAAAACTATATTAAAAACCACTGTTTTGGGATCCTAAAGTAGATCTGAATGATTTCTTTCTGCCTCACTTTCCAAGTCTATATAATAGAGTTTTGAAATGTTACATGTAAAGCACTTAAAACAGTTATCTGCAACACATTATGTAATCGATGAGTGTTAGATATTATGTTAACAATGTAGTAGATTGGATAAACCCAAACAGCCAGGACTTTCACTTCCAGTACTATTTCCACCACTGACTGATTCCTTATGCAATGTTGATCAAGCCCTTTCTCCTCTGGGCCTGTCCCCATCTGTAAAATTAAAGAGGTAAAAAAAAACTTGATGGTTCTCAAGTTCCTTCTATCTTCAACAATGTATGTTTTTCTACTATCAACAAAGAGCCTCCAGTTCCATATGCTGAAGCTGTTGGCAAGGAAAAATGTGAATGTGTAACAGCTGGTTCCCTGATGGTAGGGGCCAAGGCCAAGGGCAGGACAATTGATTAGTAAACCACCTGTGTGCTTTCCCCTTTGTTAACTATAACACACTCACTGCAGGACTCTGAACAGAGCACCTCCTCCCTCCCGCCAAAACCCACTGCAAAGGCAAGACAAGAGTCTAAAAACAAGAGTTGCAATGAAGAATCCTGCCTTGTGCAGAATTCCTTCACTTTCTTGCCTTTGATACCTGTAATTAGGGTATAACCGATCTACAGTAGGGCTCTTCTTAGGCATAAAAAGAAAGAAAAACACAAAGGCCCACTTTGAACCTGAAAGCTCATAAAACAAAAACCAAAGTGAGTAAATAAAAAATGGCACTGACTCATTCAACTGTAAACACTGCAGAGGCCTACTACGTGCCAGGCAGAGGAGGGATACAACAGACAAGGTCCTTTGCCACCAACATACTCAGAGTACATATGGACTGATGTACCTACCCCAAGGCAGACTGTGATTGGAGCTATATTAGAGGTGTGGCCTCAGCTACAGAAGATGAGGGGTGGGAGGGAGCAACTAACCTAGCAGGGGGATCAGAGAAACTTCACTGACAGGTTACATGAGCACGGACCTTGAAAGATGAGAAGGAGGAAACTCTAGGAAGAGGGAATACAAGCAAAGAAACATGTAGGGAGTGTTGAGTAACAAAAAGTTGTTTTGACTAGGGTACAGGGTGCAGGTTTGGGAGAACAAAGGGAAACAGGACAGGAAAGAGGTTTGGGAACAGATTATGGAGGAATTTGTCTATGAGGCTGAAGAGTCTAAACTCTATATTATAGGCAGTGAAGCTCCCCAAGGTTTCTGAGCAGAGATATAACATGATGAGAACACTATCTCAGGAAGATAACATGGGCACCCATGAAGAGGATGCAAAAGGATTCAAGTTACTAGATTACTATGAGACCACATAACAGAAAACCACAGGCATTTTGGAAGCATGTGCAGGAATCCAATAGGATCCATTCACAGAACTTCCCTGATCCAGCTTCATGCAAGCTGACTTTAAGAGATGCTCATTTGCCAGGCCCTCTAACCATCAAAATCCGCTAGAGTACTAGAGTAACAGGCCTCCTGGACCAAGTCAAGAACCCAATTATTCTACTGGATCACAAAAAGGGAAGAGCTGATGTGGGAGAAGTTGGGGAGGGAGGCACCAAAGTCTTCAGCTGGCCCAGTTCCATATAAACATCCAACCCTGTGGGTCACCTCTTTACGTCATTTCCAGTCTAGCTTTCTTTAGACGGGCTGAGTAGGGCTGAAAGCACCTGACTGATGGCTGAGGATTCAGTGATACAATATATATCAACTGCACAGCATGGCACTTGGCATATGGGCAATAAGCATTAGTTCTCTTCCCATTCTGCAAGGTCAGTTCCACCTATAAATCCTACTGAGGCTGTAGGCTTTTAGGTCACCTCAGCTCTTCTCCCAGGGCCTCTCTAAAGTACCCTAGTCTAAAATGACCTAGTTCACATAAATCACACTCACTGCATGCACCAAGTATTCAGCACCCATTTCATCACAGGTGCCATAGTAGGTGACACATGTAATCCTATTCAACTTTCACAATAACCCTACTATACTTTTTTTATACAGGAGAAACTGAAGTTCTGGGAGGAGAAATGACCTGCCCAACGACACACAAATAGGAAGTGGCAGGGGTGAGATCTGGACCCAGAACTGTCTGTCACAAAGCCAAACACTTCCAACACTTCATTCCTGTCACCCACACTGGCCTCTGATCTGCTACTTACAATCTGACAGGTAGCCTGGAAACTCCCTAAGGAGAGAGACTGCACCTGACACTATTCTCTCTCCTCCCTGTACAGGGATCCACACATGTCAGGAGCTTTTAAATGAAAACAGATAACTTTAAAATAACGTTCACAGATATTAGAAATTTCTCACATGAAAAACTAGTTACGATGTTAGATTACCTCTGAGCCTTGAGCCCAGCCATATAGCCTGATAGGGACTGACTCTCAAATTGGCCCCGGTCTGAGCTCTGACCTCGGACACCTGTCATGACCCAAGCCCTGACCCTAGGCACAGGCTGAGCCCCGACTGGGGACACACGCCGCGCCCTGAGCTCGTTATAGACGGAGCCCTGGCAAGTCACAGATGGAGCCCTGAGAAGCGCCCTAAAGAAGCGTCTCTTTCGGCTGCCCGCCGCCGTTGAATCGGATCGTGACCTCGCGCCGTTCTGAAGGCCCTCCCTTCTCCGTCCCGAACACACTAACTCATTCACAGACCGCCCCTGCCCATCCCATTGCACTGGCAGGGACGCTTTGCTGTCTCGTCTTTACCTCAGCCGACTCACCGCAGGACCAGTCGCGCGCAACCCCACCTGCAAACCGCTCTGCCGGGAACGCGGAAGAGGCGGTACTAGACCCGAGGGGCGGGGCCGACCGGAGGGGTGCGAGGGGCGGATCTGCGCCTGCGCCTTGATGGCTACACCCAAGGAGACGGTGTGGGGGGAGCTAAGTATACTGCGCAGGCGTGGTAAAGAGGGGTGGGGAGATTGCTGGGTAGGGAGTGGGCCTTAGCTTTTCTGAGGCTATTTTCTCCGAGTGAAGGTCGGCAAGCTAGGGTAGTGTCAGGAGGGAGGAGGCCAGGAAACGGCAGGTGTAATTAATATTTATCGAGACCTTCTGCATGCCAGGAAGGAATTTTTAAAAAGCCTTTTATATATGGGGAAATGTCAATCTTTTCTAAAATGAGAGCTAATTCTGTAAAATTTCTTAAAAGGTTTGGGTATCTATGATCTAACTATGAAAGTTTCTCCTTGACTAACTAAAGCATTACCTCCAGTAGTTCAAAATAAAAAACTCAAAAGTTCATTTCTTGGACAAAACCAACTGCCAATAAATTAATATTTCAAACAGCCACAGTCCCTCTCCCAGGATGCAAGTGTGATGAGGTAATGAAAGGGCTGATTCAGGTCCTGACTCGAGGGTTTCCTCTGTTGTGAAATGGAAGTAAATATCCTTTCCCTGTGTCTCAGGGTTGCTTTCAGGGTCTAGTGAGCAATACGAGTTAAAAAAGCCTCTTGAACTTCTTTCCCATCACCCACCTGACACACATTTGTTCCCTTTCCCCTTCTGGGCTCAGTCTTCTTATCTGCATGATAGGATGTCTGCAACATTAAGGAACTTTCAGGGCTTTGCTAGGTTTCCCAGTCTGAGTGAAGCCTGGAGCTAGGCGGGTTTGGGGTGTCTTCTCCCAAGCTTCTGTATTAGTCACTTCCAGAATCACTCAGTCCAACTTGAAGGCCCCTGTACATCCTGACCTCTCCCACCTTCACCTTCCAGACCCACCCAAACTTTATATCCTCAGAGGCCTTGCTGGCCTGTTCCCCTCTCTTCCCTGAATGTCTCAATAGCCAGTTGCTCCTGAGTCACTCAGGCCTATGTTCCAGTCCAGGTTCTCAAAATTGCTATGTCCTCCATATATATGGCAACTAAGTTCAGTTAACACCAGAGATAAGGGCTCTGGAGAGCTCAAAGGAGGAAGGGCTCGAGGAAGGCTCCCCTAACTCAGGTGGAGCTCCAGACATGATTGCAGCTCCCTTCACCACACACTACACACAGCTCCAAGGGGCTGAAGAGTGGGAGAGGCAACAGGAAACCTCAAAGAGGAGGGTGCAGTGGTAATGAGGGCCGAGGGTAGTGGGGCAGCCTTTACTCAGTAAATAGATGCTCTGCCCCAATGTGATAAGAATGGCTTGCTTCCTTATTCTCTGCTCTGAATATTTTTATGAATCCTGAACCAAAAGGAAAACAAAGCCTTCCACAGCCTGGCTGCCCAACCAAATTGTCCCTTTACCTCTGGTACATTGCCTATCACAGGACCCTCACCTGCCAAGTTTTGCCCTGTTGAGGGGGGGCGGGGGGGCGGATCTTCCTCTGTGTTGTGGTGGCCCCAACTCTCTTGTTTCCTCCTTTCTCTCATCTCTGTCTAGTCTTCTCTAAGCATCCCTTTCTGAATTTCTCAAAGCCATTTTGTCACAACTTATAAGGTACAGACAGACCTTCGCCACACAGCTCTGAGATAAATCTACCCTCACTACCATGATGTATTTCAAAACTACTATGAATCGAGAGCCCAACTTTCTAAGAGTCTAAGCTGTCCAGTAATTGATGAGGTAGTGAGTGATCTGTCACAGGAAGTGTACAAGCAGAACCACCTTTTAGAATGCTGGACTTGAGCCTCCTCTGGTGAGCCTTGAAAGGGCAGCAGAGTGGAGGGCCTTACAAATCCTAGTGAAAGGAGGGATACTAGGTGCCAAGAAGGGAGCCAGGGAGCTAGCCAAAAACAAACTTGATTCAATAGGCGATTATATGATAAGCATTTAGAACTGTACCTGACACATAATGAGTATTAGCTATTATTATTGTGAATGATCCACAGACTGTATTGAAGGAGGTTAGAATCAATCATTTCCTCACTCCCACTCCTGGTCATGAAATAGATGAGAGTAATTAAGGTCTGGAGGGGAAAGGGGCTTGGTATAGTACCTCAGGAGGTGGGCTGAGACTGGAACCCAGGCCTCTGCCTCCCAGAAGAGCCACCGAACAAAGCCAGATCGTCTCCTTCTTAGGTAACGGGGAGAGAGCTCTGACTCTTAAGAACCAAGCTATTTTTCAACTTGTCTGGGCAGCTTGAAGGTACGGGGTAGTGGAATAAGAGCAAGACCTGAGCTAAGAGAGTCAGGTATCTCAGGGGGAATAAGCTCAGGAGTCAGCCCCATGCCTTGCCACCCCCACTTTGAACTCTAGCCAGTACTCGACAAACCTTTTTCTTGAGAAGGGTTTCTGCTGCTGTAACTGGGGTTAGGACTGTGTTTCTGCCCTGTTCCTTAACCCATTAGCTCTATCCAATAAACCACCCAGATTAAGAGGGTGGGGTGAAAACAGCCAGTGCCAGGTGACCTGAGCTGAAACAAGGAAAGACTCCCAAGAAACTGAGTTCCACGAAGGCAAGGGCCAGCCCTCCCCACTCCTAGGGTCCTAGCCTAGTCCAGGAATTCTGGATCCAGAGTTCCCAGAGCCCTGGGAAAACCTTAGTGTCTCCACCCTGGAGAGCTGGGCCAGATATGACCACACCAGCCAGCTCTCCATATGGCCCAGGATCTCAGGACAAAAAGCCCTCCCTGCCCCGTTCTGGCCCAGTGCCTTCCACAGGCTGCCCAGGAGCCATGTGGCACCCAGACCACAGCTTCCCACCAATGCAGCTTTATTTTACCAAAAATAACAACAATAAAATCTTCCTTGTTTCACAAAAATAGATTTCCCCACCCCCTCCTGTCTTACCCCACCCGCCTCTGCAATCAGCACCAGCCACAATCTAGAATCCATCTTCCAATCCACAGTCCTCTTTGGGGGAATCTTTGACAACCCCCCACCCGCCTGCCATGCAAACCTCTGGCAAAGCTGCTGGGGCAGTGTGTTTCTCTTGGGAACTTCTCCAGAGACAGCCGTCCCAGGACCAGCTGCCTGGCCCCAGAAGCGCCATCTGCTTCCCCAGAAATCAGGCAGCTGCTGGGCCATGGAGAGGGTCATGATTTTGGAGGCTTGGCTCAGCAGATAATCCCAGCGGATCTGCAGGGAGGTGGGGCACTCTGGCATCAGGCTAGAAATCCTTGCTCAAAGCAGGAACTGTTGTGTCCTGGAGAAGGGTTGTCAAACCCTCTTTCCATGTGCTCCTCATCTCCCTATGTAGCAATCCATAGGCTCTGGGGTGGCAGTCAGGGCCCCTGGTTTCTATTCCAGCTCCACAACAGCCTTGCTGTGAGGCCTTGGACAGTTGCTCCTTCTTCTCTTCCCGGCTTCAGTCTCCTGCTAGGTACATGGAGGAGTCTGTGAGTGACTCAGGATGAGCCTCAGGTCCCTTCTGGCTCTCCATCCTGGCCTCCCAGCATGGAGACTCTGGGAGGGGAGGGCCCTGTCCCTGCCTCAGTTTCTCCACCTGTGGGTCTGGGCACAGGGTTGGGCATGGGGTGCCGAGTGATAGAGTGCTGAATGGACATCCCAGTTTCTCTGTGGACAGCTATGCTCTGAGAGCCAACCAGCTGGAATGTCTCAGGGATAGTTGGGAAAGAGGCAAGTACTTGCAGGATGGGGGCTCTCCAAGCTTGGAAGGGTCCATTCACTAGTCACGTGGTCCTCAATGTCCCAGGATGGGAGACAAGACTCTGGAATTTCCCAATTCGAGTTCCACTAGATCCTTGGGTTGGAGGATTTTCTGTGCTGGACTTCAGATTCTGGGAGCTAGACTGGATCATGTGATTCCCAATTTAAGAACCAGTGGAACTTTGTGGACATGAGGGATCATCCCCAACCCCCAAGAGGCTGTCTATAATCAGGCTTTCCTGGAGGCAGAGGAACGAGTTAAATGACAGCAAACGGGCATCTCTGGCTGAGCAATCAGAACCTGTGTCTGTGGTGGACTATGGCTTTAGGTACCTAGGATGAGGATCCTCTTCCTACCTCTTCACAGCTCTTCAGAATTCATGCTGATGGAAGAACGTAGCCTAGAAGTTTCACAGAGCTACCTCTACAACCACATTTTGTGCACTTATACACATTTGCCAGACATGCCAAGTGGGGACAGTGACCTGTCATCACTCTGAAAGTGGTCATAGTCTGATGGTCCTAATCCCTCCTCCCCTACCTCCCTCATTCCTTGGTTTCTTCCATTCATCCATTTATCTAACATTTATGAGGGCCTCTTATGTGCTATGGAGGGTCTAAGGCAGCCAGCTCTCACAGACACACCCCACAGTCAAATACACACACACACACACACACACACACAGTCATCTGTGCTCACTCACACACAGGCTGCTCACTCTCTTGTACCTGACTTGCCATCACCTCAACCACATCCACAATTTCCCAGGTAAGCTTGGAAAGGTCACATATCGGAGCAGAAAGCCTCTAGCCTACCCCAACCCCAGACTTCATGTCAGAGGTTTAGCCCTTCCTTTCCTTCTGTTTTCCCACCTTTAAATATTCCCCCTCTCCATTCACAAGCAGTCAGGGGACATGTGGGCACACTCCTGAGAACCAGAAGTCAAGGGGCTTTGGATGTGTGGAGGGGGTCCCAGGGCCTTCAGGTTCCTCTGCCACCAGACTCCTGAGGGTCCCCTCCCTTAGCCACTCTGTGTTCAGATGGTCCATCTGACAGGCAACAATGTCCAGGCCTGGGCTCAGTGACAGATCCGCTCTGTCATTTCCCTCTGCAGAGACACAAGATGGGGAAGGGTCAGTCAGAGCTCAACCTGCTAGGTAGTCCCTTCCCAAACCATAGAGTCTGGCTGTTTTTTTGCCTGAATTTGGCCCATTTCCATCATCCCCCACCCTAATTCAAGGCTGCAGATCTGGGTTTGTAAACTGACACTTGAATGAATTCTCTATTGAAGTACAGAATCATTGTTAAATGAATTGCCGTCCCCTAATTTATCTATACGGGTATTGGATTTTCTTGAAGCAGGTAGCCTTTGGATTTGAAAACTCAGAGGCTAGCCCTGGTCGGGGAGGGCAGTGGGGCTTGGCCTCACCAGTGGCTCTAGCTCCCGTTGGTCCACCAGGCTGAACTCGCGGATGAAGTAGTAGAAGTGCTTATAGCAGGTGTTGACATGTGCTTCAGCCCCCATGCTGAGGATGCTGTCGAAGTGGTGGATGTAGACGTGGACAAAGACACGGAAGAGGCGGGTCAGGATCTTGTTGCAGACCTGCTGGAAGTTCTTGGGAAAGGGAACTCCTAAGGGGGCATGGATGAGCAGAAGTGGGGGATGAGCATCTTGGTATGAAACTCTGCCCAACCTTCCCTGCCCTTCCATATATAGGCAGCCTTCACCCAGAATGGCCTCTTCCCTAGCACACTTTGCTGTGGGAGACAGAAAGATCTCATGGTTTGCTTTCTCCCATACTTCCCTTTTTAATGAAGCACAAATCTGACTGTGCCTCTCCCCTGCTGAAAAATAAATCATCTTCCACATTTTCCCATCAGCCTGAGTAGGCCTCTGCTACGTGGTTGGGGTCACTGACCAACCCTTCTCAGACTATGATGAAAGTGATGCCCAAACTCTCTCCAGAAATATGTGTATCTGTAGGTGCTCTCACATGACACCCTTGGATACAATTCCAAAAGTGGCTCGTTGCCATCTAGGTTCTATTTTTAAAAACATGGGCCTTCATGATTAAGTCTTAACTTCCCAGCATGGAACCTGCTCAAGCCCTTTCATGATCCTGACCTCCTTCTCCAGCCTTGCTCTGACTCCTTCCTTTTTGTGGCATTCACACAGCAGGCCCCAGACCTGAATCCTGAGAATTACTAAGTCTTCAAGAACTTGTTCAGATATCTCTCATTCCTTCATATAATCAATAACATTTACACTTCCATCTGTGAGCCAGGCCCTGTGCTGGCCCTTAGCACCTTTTGCCTGGTATGATAATGGGTATTATATCCATTCTAGATGTGATAAAATAGAGGTGCATAAAGGTGGAGCCACTTGCCTGAGGCCACATAACTATTAATTAGTACAGACTGGAAGCAAGATTCAAACCCTCTTTGTACTGCCCTGCAGCGGCCCTCTGAGATAAATGCCACTGGTCCTGCTCAAGAGAAGCTCCAGGACCTGCAAAAAAGGCACAATTTTGTATAGCCCTGTGCTTAAGGTAGAGATCTTGGTAGCGATACCCTGTTCTCTGCTATGGCAGAGCCATCCCCGGGTTAAGGAACAGACATCTGGGGTCTCACAGGCCCAGGATGTTAAGGCTAGAAGGGAATAAGAGCCCAGACACAGATCCACACTGACCCACCTGGCTCCCTAGAGCCCTTCTCCTTCCTCGCTGCTCTCGGATGGGGTTGAGCCCTGCCTTCCTGTGAGCCCTAGGCCCAGCCCAGGTCCCTCAGACGTCCTGCTCATCTAGACTTAGGGCCTGGGCCCCAAGAGACCTGAGGTATGGTTTGGAATCCCTCCTGATTCAGTGCACTGTCCCTCTCTTGGCCTCAGTTTTCTCCCATATGAAATGAGGATACCCATTACTGGGCAAGATAGTACAGGAAATGGCAGGCTACCAGCTGGGATGGGGCCATGGGCATTGAATTGTGACTCAGCGCCCAGCTTCCCTCAGTATTCAGACTTCTCCCCTCTGGGCTTGACCACCCTGCCCCACCCATCTCTGATTCCTAGTGCCTTAACGGGATGAACGTGAGGCCAGGTGGGGGAGGGGCTGCTGTGATGCACACAGTGTCATGCCCGCTCAGCTCCTGGGCCAACACCCCCTCTAGCTGCCCTTGGGTGGGGAAGCAGGGTCAGGGTGACATCACTCATCTCCTGTCCCTACACTCACCCGCCAGGGCTGCCCAGCTGAGATAAGAAAAGGCTCCACGGCCTGGGCCTGACAAGGAAGAATCCTGCCCTTGGAGCCCCCTGAGGTAGGGATACCATCTGGCCCACCCAATCCCCACCCCCTTCCCTTTCCGGGGCCAGGAGTCAAAGGCAACTCCTAGGAGACTGCAAGTCGTCAGCCCAGGTAGGGTGATCTGCTAGGAGAACCTTGAGGCACCTCTTCTGGAAGGTTCTGAGAATCACAGTGGTCTTGTCAGGGTGGTCCTGGAAGGGGTACTCAAGCCTCAGACAAGAAAAGCCCTAAACTGGGAGTCAGGCAGTTCTAGCTCAAGATACCTGATCTTGAGCAGCCACTGAACCTCTCCATGCCTCAGTTTCCTCTTCTACAAAATGAGGAAGAAAATTACCACCACCCTGCCTCCCCTCTCGAATTGCTGTATCAAACTAAATGTCTCATCTGTGAAATGGGCTCCGGTGACTGCCTCTCTCCCTGGCCAGGCCTGACCTGCCTGCCAGGTGGCACTCACCAACGCGTGTGGGAAAGACATCCTCGTCGTTGATGAGGCTCTCGATCCAGTCCATGAGCAAGGCCATGTAGCGTGGCGCGGATAGCTTGGCTGGCCGCCGGTACTGGCGCTCGTCCTGCCAGCGGTACTCGTAGCGAGGCCCTCCGGCCATGACCGGGCAGGTGGTCTCGCTGCAGCGCTCCGCCATGGTGCCGTAGATGAGGTTGATGCGGTTGAAGAAGTCCACCACATGCACGGCGATCCAGTCGTCAATGTTTTCTCCAGGCGGCAGCCTCACTACACTGCGCAGGTCCAGGCCAGACTTGAGCGACGCCTGTGCCTTTTTATACAGCTCAAAACGCTGTGTGCCGGGCTCGAAGCGCTTCCGTGGCCGAAAGGTCTTGTCTTTGGCGAACACCTGCTTCAGGCACAACGCCATGGTCAGGCTGGGCGGAGGGGCCAGGTGTCCAGTGGCAGGACCTGAAGATGCTCTGCCAGGGCCGAGGGCATGGGGAAGCATGGTGGTCAGATCCTAACCAAACGGGCTTTGACTTCCCAACACATCACTGGCCCACCTCTGCAGTCCCTGCCCTATTTCCAGGCTGCCCTAGTTCCTTCTGCCAAGCACCCACAGCCCTCCCATCTTGTTTTGTTTCCTCTCCACATTCATTGCATTTCACAGAAGGCAGGGCTTCAGCTCCAAACAGGTGCTCCTCAGACTTGCTGTTGGCCAGTAAAGAGGTGGCAGAGGCTTTCTGTAGGCCTGCCAGGAGGCAGGGGCCTGGATAAGATGAACTCTGGGGGGAGCCCAGAGGCCAGCTGGTGCAGTGTGGGAGAGAGAGCCTGGCTGCATTGTGCTGGGGGTAGGGGGAGGGCCCCTGCCTTCAACTTCCTCTGGGATATCCCGTAGTTTATCCGGCCACCGGGGGTTCCCAGGGACCAGGAGGGACTTTTCTACCAAAAATGTCCTTTCCTTTTATTACTCTGGAAAAGGAAAGGGCCCTCATATGGCCAGCTGGGTGGCCTCTGAGTGTGGCTGCAGGCGCTGGAGGAGAGGGGGAGGTGGCAGGTGTAGAAGGACACCATTTCCTTCAACAGTGGCTGAAGATTCTTTCCCCCAAGCCAGCCTCCTCCAGCCTGAAACCCCAAGAAGCCACAGCAGCCCTCCTAACACCCCATTACCTGGAACTCAGTAGACATTCCTAGAGCACTCACTACATGCCTAGAACTGGGAGATAGGAGAATGTAGTCAAATCTGTCCATCTCGGCCCATCTAGAATTCAGATGAATTTGCTTTGCCTCTTAGAACTGAAGGATCCCAGATTCAGAACAGACTTTGGGGACAGGAATCAGAGTCCCAGGCTTGGTTGCAGGAGTCCTAGGTTCTAGTCCCAGCTCCATCATGGCTGGGGCACCCCTGTAGCAGGCATGGATTTGGCCTATGCAACTTCCTGCGTCACTCTGATACAAGCCAGGTTTCTGGGACTCTCAGGGTAGTATGTGAGTATGTGAGCTCTTGGGAAATGCAGACCCAGGTACCTGCTGAGAATGAAATTTAGCCACAAACTGAGCACTGACCCTGACCCCAGACTGAGCACTAACACTGAGTATAGGCTAAGCACTGAGCTCTGGCTCCAGGTTGAACTTTGACCTGGCCCTGACCCTGATCAATGGGAGTCCTGACTAGCTTTAGACTGAAGCTTGAATATAGTCAAAAACAAAGCCTGGCCTTGACCTCGGAGCTGACACTAGAGCATTTTCCTTTTCATATCTCTAGTAATGGTGGGACAGAGGTGGGGAAGGAGGATGGGAACAAGGTGACAATTGGGTGTAATCAAAGGCACAGTAAGTATGGGTTGGGGGAGGCGTCACATCAAGCAAAAAGTCAAGCTAGTGGAGGAGAAGTTTGGAACAGGGGTTCTTCCTTGTGCCCACAACAGGCAGGCCAGGAGGGAGATAGTCAAGTAAAATGAGAGGAGTTTGGAGAGTAGGGGCAGGTCTCCCAGAAGGATGTTGTCTTCTTGAAAAGAAAAAACCTCAATGACATGGCAGGTCATCTCATCCATTCCCTGCCGCTCACCTTCTCACCCAAAGAAAACCCCAGTGTGGGACCTGAGCTTCCTGACCAAGAGGAGGAGATGTTCATGCTTCACTTGCTGCCTGCATTCTAAACTCTGCTTGGGGCAGGTGCTTCCAAAATCACACTGAAATTAGGTGGGGTTGCTGGGCCCTGTACCATCACATAGTCCCTTTTACTGACCAACAGACCTCACCCTGGCATTCAATACCTCACCTTACCTTTCCTGCCCACTCCCTGACAACAACCACTCTGGGCTTCTTGATGATACCTGAACATACTGCCCACTCTCCTGCCGCTATGTGTTTTCTTACACTGGTCCCTTTGCCTGACTACATATGATCAGGTTGAATGCTATCTACTCCCATAGCCCCCTTTCTTTCTCCTTGGGTGGAGGCTACTGTTTGGCCTTTGCTGTCCCCACACAACCTATCGCGAGCCTAGGTCAGGGCCTGGCACATAGTTGATGCTCAGGCTTTAAGGAAAGTTTAGAATCAAGAATCTTAGGGTTGAAATAGCTCCGAGAAATCAACTGGCCCAACTCAGTTCTTATATAGATGGGGAAACAGGCTGAGAAAGGGGCATTGAGGACTCTGCATTCACATAGCAAGTAACAGACAGGGGATCTCCAATGGAAGAACTGAGAACTGCGATAAAATGAGACTGAGCCCATGAAAAGAGTAAAGGAGCATCTTCCTGCACTGGCTGGTAGCTGGTCTGGTGGAGACAGGGGAAAGTTGGGGATGGAAGGAGAGGGGAAGCATCTTCCCACCAATTAGACCAACTTAATTCCTGTTCCCCCAACTCACTGCGCCTCCCCCCACAGTCCGCACGCACAGCAACTTGGGCGTCTTGACCAGCGAGCTAGAGTCCCACCTTCCTGCTGTAGAATTTCAAGGCCTGGGTCTTTTCCTAACAAAATGTAAGCTTGCGAGTGGTGGTGGTAGAGAGTGGGGGTGGGATTTGATAGTTGCCTTTCTATCCAGGCCACTGGTTTCTCTTCACTTCCCACTTCCATGCCCTTCCTGAGTTTCTGTCCCTCACAGAACCTTTGTTCCCTCCCTGAACCATGGCCATTTATATCCTCTCTTAGCCCCCTGTTTCCTAACTTTGGGTGTCCTTTTACTCCTAAAGTGGCCAGAGATAGCTTACACCCTGGATGGGCGTCTAGGCTTCCCAACTGAAGACCACAGAGTGGCCCTGTCAGTTTCTGACACTTAGTCCCCTGCCAGAGCCACACCTGCCATTCCCCAGGCCTGGCCCAGGATCTTGGGCAGGGGCTGGCCCCAGTTTGAGCCCAGAATCCAGCCTAGGGCTGTGCGTCCTGCGAGATGCCTCCGTGCAGGGCACAGATCCAAGAGAAAAGTAAAGGCGGGGCCTCCATGCTCCGCACTGAGTCTGTGCCCACCTCACAACTCTCGGCCGCCCAAGCGCACCCCTTGGCCATCTCCCCCTACCCTTCTCCAGCCCAGCTGCCATGATAGACCTGTCTGTTGTAGGACACAGAAGAGCAGGCCTGACATTTCCGCTCCCGAAGAAGACACACCCCCCTCAAATACTGCCATCCCCCATACCCCACTTCAGCGGCTCTGAGCCTAGGACCCCAAACCAAGGATTGTGGCCAGCCTGCCTTCGGGCAGAGGTCGCCTCCGGACTGTGCCACGCCGGGACAGCTGAAGAAATGAAAGTGGAAGCAAGCCTGGGCCGTCTGTGCGGCGGGGGCGCGTGGGGCGCGGCACTCACTCACCGAGTCTGCCTGGGTGGGCAAGCGCTGAGCCCTCGTCTGGCCGCGGGTCACATCCCAGCGCCCTGGGTCTCCTCCTTTTGCCGGTCCTCCGCTCTGCGTGTGCTCAGTCCGCCCGCCTGCCTGCCCTGCCGGGCCTCGGTCGACCTCACGCCCCTGAGGCGACGCCAGCTCCGCCCCTACCCTCCCGGGCCAGCCGTGCTGCGGCCAAGGGGCGGGGGAAGGGGCGGGGAATGGGGACCCCCCTCCCCGAATGCACAGACACACTCACTGTCGCCTTTCCGGAATGTCCATATCGCTCTCCCAACTTCCCCATGGGTAAAAGACTAGCTGGCCCTCTCAGCGTTTGCTTGGACTTTTACCAAGCAGGCAGCCTCAGCTTTCTCAACTGTAAAATGGGGACAAGCTCAGCTTCTGTCTGGAGGGGAGACAAAAGAGCTGCTAAATAATGGATTTCTTTTTTTTTTTTTTTTTTGTCTTCCCAGAATTACGTGTGTCTCGTTTGTCCCTGAGCTCAATAAGGGATCAAGTCTGCCCTATACACTTCCACATTCTTAGCTCCTGGCATAGTGCCTGGCACATAGCAGGTACTTAATACCAATGAATGAGTGCCTTGGGACTCATGAGTGAGTCCCTTACCCCAGCACTAAAAGACTGGTCCTGAAGAGTGCTCCGACACAGACTTTCACCTTCTCCACCAGGGCCGGGGCCCTTGCTCAGACTGGGCTGATTCTCCTCACCCCTCACCTGAAGTCACCCGATTTCCTACCGCCAGACATTTGTTCCAGTGGTTCCCACTTTGAAATATCTTCTTTCCCTCCTTCTTTCCAACCAAATCCAGACCCTTCAAGACTTGATCTTCTCTCCCTAGTTTTCTACTCATGTTCCTCCTCTGATGAAAGACAGATATCCCACAGCAGCACCCAATGCACATTGTGGGCCCCAGGCCCAAGGAATAGGTGGCTGGCTCTGTCCTGGGAAGGGAGGGAAGGTTGGAGGCCTTCTAGGATAGGAGGGCCAAGGCAGATAGATGAGCTGTAGAGGTCACCCTGGAGAGGTGCAGGAAGTGAGCAGGCAACAGTGGGGTAGCGCTGGAGGCTGGAGGAGGGCATTTACTGTGGCACAGACGCTTACTGGGCTCCTCTTGTGTCTGGATCTTCTTGCTCGATGGCAATGAGAACACACAAGATCCTAAAGAATGAACTGAGGATTCTTTCTTTTGTCGAGCACCTATTTTTGCCACAGTCTAAAGTTCTCTTTTTTTCCCTGCTGTGTGGGTCTTAATTCTGCCCTAAATTTCCTCTAAACATTTGCATGCTCTAGTATATGCAGAAGGAATTCGAATCTATTCCTTCATTTGTTTGATATTCTAATCAACCCCCTTTCTTAAGCATGATTCTGTACACTGAGGGCAGGGCATCAGGTGATGAAGCTGTCCCAGTACCTGACCTCAGCTGAGGTTAGCAGGTGGCACAACACACAGAGATAACACAAGGTCAGAGCTCAGTCATCCAGAAGTGGAAACACGGTTATGGACTGGGCACTCTGAAGAGAGTTTAAAGAAGACATTATTTAGAAGTATAGTGAGGGTGTAGGGCAACCACACAGATAGCATGTTACCAAAGGACTAGCAAGAGCAGCCCTTCGATGTATGCCCTAGGCTGAAGCTGTCACCCCTAGCTGAAGGGGTGTTGGGAGGGAGGGGTCAAAGTGCAAGCTATGAGGAGGGGCCTACTGATCTGACCTTAGCTGTGGCCTATGCTTGAAGGGCATACCTAGCCCACAGCAATCATTCTGTGAAGGAATGGGGTTGTAAAGGGGCCTCCCTCTACTCTCTCTGGCTGATCTCTGGCCAGGTTTCCCCATTGGCCAGCTCCTACTCTTGAAGCTAATGAGAGTTGATGCAGCACATGGAGGTCGGCTTTCTTGGGTCTAGAGCTGGGTGGAGGAGGGTGGAGAGTGCATCTAGGGAACAATGAAAGGTACTTGGCACATAGGCTCAGGGACTTCGACTTACAGAAAAAACAGAAACCGCTGTGCTTTACTTATCATTCAGTTCTAAATATTTCATAATTTCATTGTCATTTCCTCTTTAACCCATGGATGATTTAGAAGTGTGTTTTTTAGTTTCTCAGCCTATGGGAGGTTTATGATTTTCTTGTCAACTTCTAATTATATAGCATTGTGGTCGGAGATCATGGTCTGTAAGATTCTTTGGAATGTGATGTGACTCCCTCTGTGGCTTTGTACATGGTCATTTGCTGTACCTTGAACTAGGTTTTATAGAATGAGCAGGAGTTTGCCTGATGAAGAATGAAAAGCACAGAATCTTACATCGTGGGAAATATAGCTGATCCATTTGGAAGGAACTTCAGAAGTTCCCAGCTCACCCACAGAGCCCTGGGTGTCTGCCCCAATACCAGATGACAGGTTGAAGGGTTGGGAGAAGCCAGAGATAGCCCAGATCCCTTAAACACCTGTACCCCCGTCCTGTGGCTCTGGTTTTAGGCTAGAGAGACTGTGTCCTTCCAGGAGGCTCTGCTGGGGCTGAGAAGACCCAGACCTGGGAGAATAGGTCCTGGCTTTACCGGAAAATAGCTGTGAGACCTTGGGTTGTTCTTGTCCTCTCTGATGGCATGCTGTAACCCGACAGCACTGCATGCCTATGCAGGACAGGCACTGTTCCCTGCTACTGAGTGTGATAAGTGGCTCAAATAACCTGTGTGTCCTGAGTGTGATAAGTGGCTCAAAAAACTTGTGTGATAACCACTGTGATAACCTGTTTCTGAAGCTTGATGGGAACCATTGAGGACTCGGTTGAGGACATACCCTTCTTCACTGCACAATCCAGGAACATGACTGCTTGATGGGAGCTCCAAGTGGCAGTGGCTCCAAGTGGTACTGAGCTCTTGCCCAGCTGTATGTCTCGGGGAAAGCCTCTGCCCCTCTTTGGGCCTCAGCATTCCCCATCTGCACCACAAAAGCATCTCCCAGCTGTACTATTCCAAGTGCTTTATCAGGACCAGCTTCCTGCTCTTGCCCCTGTGGGCTCAGTGACTCGACTGATAGCAGGAAAGTTCCCACATCCCTACGCTTCTCTCAGAATGAGCTACAGCACCCCAGCTCACCCCACCAGACTTCCAGAAACTTCTGTAGCCTGATGGCACCTACCTTCTCCTTAATCTCCTAAGAAAAAGTTTCTATTTCAGCTTCTGCCTCTTCCTGCCCAGAAGGAACTATCTTTCATCCTGGCACATTGAAGAAAAATCAAAGGCTACCCTTATTGCAGTAAGAAGAATTAAGGTTAAACTTCCTTTAGTTTGAAAAGGACAAAGTTGAAAAGGATGTACATTAAAATTCCGTATGACTGTGGACAAGGCGATTATTCTCTCTGAGCCTATTTCCCCTTCTGTAAAATGGAAACAACAATAATTTTTTTCCCAGAGAAGAGCTATGAGGACCAGATGTGATAGTCCTTGTAAACAACTGAAGGCTGTGGCTGGGGTTTTGGGG